CTCAAGTAAGCAAAGCACCTCAAGTAGGCAAAGCACCTCAAGTAAGCAAAGCACCTCAAGTAAGCAAAGCACCTCAAGTAAGCAAAGCACCTCAAGTGAAGAAAGCACCTCAAGTAAGCAAAGCAGCTCAAGTAAGCTAAGTACTTCAAGTAAGCAAAGCACCTCAAGTGAGGAAAGCGCCTCAAGGAGGCAAAGCAACTAAAGTAAGCAAAGTACCTCAAGTAAGGAAAGCACTTTAAGTAAGTAAAGCACCTCAAGTACGCAAAGCACCTCAAGTACAAGGACGCAAATTACTTCAAGTAGAGAAAGCACCTCAAGTGAGCAAAGCAGCTCAAGTGAGGAAAGCACCTCGAGTAGGCGAAGCACCTCAAGTAGGCAAAGCACCTCAAGTAAGCAAAGCACCTCAAGTAAGTAAGGCACCTCAAGCACGGAAAGCATCTCAAGTAAGGAAAGCACTTCAAGTAAGCAAAGCACCTCAAGTAGGCAAAGCAGCTCAAGTAGACAAAGCACCTCAAGTAAGGAAAGCATCTCAAGTAAGCAAAGCACCTCAAGTAAGGAAAGCACCTAAAGTAAGACAAGAATCTCAAGTAAGACAAGCATATAAAGCATATATGAAACATATATTTCGGTACAATATATGTCCTTATACATGACGTACCTACCTTGCACATTCTCGTCGCCGCTGACCACGTGGTCAAAAGAAACAGAGGCGAACAGAGGTTAGGGGCACTTTCCATTCGACCAGAAATTCCGGTGTGAATTTATTTCCGGAAATTTCCGCGGGTTAATGAATTTTCCGGTTGACTGCAGAGTGGAAACAATAAGCCGCACTTTTGTCCGCTTGGAATTTTTCAATGACTTCGACGTTTTAAAGAACAGACCCCTGACACGTCGACATCCTGACTTTTAGACCACAACAGCAGGGACCTTATACAAACCACAACGGCAACGAAAACTTCTCAGGATACAGGATGTTCTTGGGAAGAACTGAACCCCGGGAAATGAACCCATTGACGCCTGTGCCGGCCGTAACTGGCCGTGACGAGCGTTGGACTCTGTTCTATTTCTGACGTCATCACCTTTGGCCAAAACTGGCTTCACTTACACTCAAATTCTGCAGGAGGAAAATATCTTTTCCCAGATCAGAGTGATTGGGTCAATAGCCCAATTTCAGCCTAAAACGATAGACCTCAACACGAGGCTCCGGGGAATAAACCCCACAAACTCTGTAGTTATTACCCGGGGCCACGTGCTGAGGTACTGTTTTAGGCTGAATTGCAAACTATTGAGCGTGGAATAAGCACGAAAATGCTTAGAAATTTGAGTGAAAATCTCGGAGGAGAATTTCCTTCAACTAAACTTGGATACTCCGTGGTAAGAATTTCCCGTCTCGATAGTGCTTACTTACTCGGGAATTCATGTAGCCTGCGTAGCAGCCGTTTCCTTTCCTTTTCCAGGTGGAGAGATCGAACAAGCGAGCGAGCAAGCGGGCGAGAAAAGGGGCGCACCTGGAATGAGCAAAAAATTGGAGAGAAGTGGGGCGGGGATGAGCGAGAAGGGGGAGTGGGTAAGGAGAAAAGGAATCGTTAACTTCGCTCGTCTACCCCCCCCCCCGGCTCCTTATTTTTCGCACTCGCTTGTAGTTTCGTTCCCTTCGCGTGCTTTTTGGAAACGCCTGCTACGCAGGCTAGAATTCTTGAAGAAAAAGAAAAAATTAAAAACCGAAAGCTTAAGTCTTAGGTCTCAAACTTTGGATTTAAGCGCATCCTCAAGCAAAAATGTCATAAAACGCGATGCTAGTGGTAAGAATAAGAAAGGCATGTTTTCATGTTGCAAATTTCTTTTTGAGTCGATTGGAGTTAACTTAACTCATCCAAGCTGCAAATGTTTAAAACGTCTAAGAAATCCGTTTTGCCAAAAATCTCCAGGTTTCTTTGAACAGATATTTAACAATTTATTCGACGAGTGGGCGTCGGGGGATATCAGCTGGTAGATATATCCAACAAGCGCGAGTGGAATAATTGTTTTAAAAACGCGTTCACCTTCTATATTTGCAGATAATTGCTCAAAATACAATGATGGCTTCACTGAAACTCTTGACTTGCGTTATCCAATGATCCAGTATTTAACAAAACGGATTATCAAGTAGGAAAATTGTAAATTTTTAAACTTAGAATTGCCCCCTACAAGCAGATCCTCTACTTACTGTCTCGCAAGTGCAGGGTATGCTGCTTTTCATAAAAAAAAATATATAAAATTCGTTACCATTCAGTCAATAAAATCAATAATCTGGGATATAATAGATGATCGATGAATAAACAGTCTCTCCAAGAATTAGGTTTGTGCGGTTTTTCATTCGTGTGTTATTCGGAGGAGTGTTTCACGCAATATACAGAGCTTTGTATGGAGACGCCACGCTGGTGTCCATCCAGCTCCAAATGGGTACCAACATGGCGTCCGTAAAGTAGCAGAGACATCTGACGTTACGTTTTGCTGTTTGAACGAGAATTTATAACTCCAGAACTCCGACACATTGAAATGAATGCTTCCAGTACAAGAACAGTTCAGTTAGCAAAAACGAAAGCAATGACTCATCTTTTGATCTAGGCAACTTTGGTATCTGTAGTATCTGCAGAATACTAGCATCTGCAGAATACTTGATACTACAGCTACTACTATCTGTAGTATCAAAGTGTGGTACCTGTACAACCTATAGTAACTGTAATGGTTGTTGTCGGCTGCTGTAGTAGTCGTCGGTTTTATACCTGTCTTTCGCAGCCATAATTTATTAACCCGCAAGTTGCCTGAACCACCATTCACAGGAATCTTACATCACGAATGTAAAGAATGGTTACACAGGAATGTACTGAAGTCACTCCGTAGCCTAGTGCGCACGTCACTTTGGTCACGTGGACACGAGGCAAAATCGCGATATACAACCTCGTTCCTATGGTCTTTTCCCTTCCATGGGAACGAAGTTAAAGTAAGGGAAAAGGCCATGGTAACGAGATTTCGGGATATGGGATACTTAGTAGACCTTTCTTATGGGTTCTCCGCTGTGCGCTCTCTGATGAGGCAAAATTAAACATGTCTTTTATGTTGTATTATTCTGCAAATGCTAATTACGACATTCTATAACTTTTGGCAGAAACGGACACGATTAGCGACTTAAGGGGTGATTTGGATTTGATGCGCTGTGTGACCACCATGCTCAGTGGAAGCGACAATCCCCGGGTTAAAAACTACAAGGATCTTGCTGATGAATGCGATATTCCCGGTGAATTGTACCAGAGTCTTCAGCCACCTGGTGCTGACAGCCCGACTAAAGAGGTGATAAACGACATTGTAGGACGTAGACCTACATATTCCGTGGAAGAACTCTTCACTAATTTGCGCGACATGAAACGTCTGGACGCTATAGAGGTCATTAGCCGCTATTTTGTAGGTAAGAAAATAACCTTCCTTGAGCTCAAATGACTGAGTATCATTTTTTTTTTCAGCGTGGATATGGCCCTTCTCCCTCAGGCAGCCGGAACACTACTCAACAACTTAGGTGCCATTCTCGGAGGGTACCAAAACCTTTTCAATTCCTGTGAGCAAAGCTGAAGTCCTCGATCGCGCATAAGCAATACGTCTTGGGCGTATTGTAGGGGGCGTGCACCCACAGAAAAGAATGACACTTAAAACATTAACATAGAATGGAGTGATTAGAAGGGAGTGAGTAATTATAATTATCTGTTATCTTAACTGCGCGAAATATTGAACATGCTGCTACGTGGACTATGCGAAACCCCTACTACTACAGTTCTTGAGTCATAGCATGTCTTGTTGTAAAATTTAAGTGTTTTTTAATCGCATTCTTATGTTTACGTCGAAAAAAATGAGTGTCAGTCTCCAATAAGCGTATCTTCTTTAAAATTAATAAGTCCTTTCTAAGCGCCCTCCACTGAGCTCTCAAAAGTATTTGGGTGTGTGGAGGCTAAATTGGTTTTGGAAAGTCAAGGAAAGACGCTTATACAGTGATTTCATTACGGTATACCAATTGAGAGTTATTGTAAAATTACCTTAGCATTTTCGTTTTCGAACTTGACTGATATGGTGAGCTACAAGCTACAAATGTCCGGCAAATTTCAAATCGGAGTGTCAGAATCCCTGAGAAGAGACTGCTGGAATTATTGCTAATTATTATTCTTTCACCTTATTTCAGAGGAGGATGTGAGGGCTTTGAAAAGAAAACTAAAGATTTCGGATGAGTGAATCGATAGTGGTAACACTCTGTTTTTTGTGACAACCTTTCAGTTGTGGCTGAGATAAACCCATATTGTAAGAATATATTAGGAACATACCAGGTGGTCCGATAGTCACGCGAGGAAATCTTTTGTTTCTTACAACTTCTTGAAAGAACAATATGACCCTCGTAAAATGTGAATCTCAGAACTCAAGTATATACTAAGTCATCGAAAATCAAATAACCAAATGCTTTTAAAGACATATTTACATAGAAAAGAGGAACTCGTCATATCGGATATTTCATTCAAGAATATGTACCCCTGTGAGGTTGTCTGTATTTTTTCATTCGGAACTGTAAGGCGTTATAATTATAAGTGGTGGGTGTTTTTGGATGCCCTATGCTTCTCCACGGAACCATGGAGATAAATAAGTAAGAAGGTATAAGTCAGAATTGTAACAGATCTACAAATTGAAAATGGTAATTTAAGCCAGAACATCTGGCAAACGTTCCAGGCTCAAATGGCGAAAAAAGTAAGGTGAGAAAGTTCAGCAACAGTCCGAAAAGTAGACGTTCTTAGAGAACAAAACGAGCTAGTGTAGCACTTTCATTAGAGTTGACACGTTTGGGTACGAGTTAGTTCACGTAAAAGTAATGTGTATACTGTTTACTCAGAGACTCCCTACATACATGATTCGATTTGAACATCTAGAGAAAAATTTTAGAGAGACGCTAAGAGTGGACTCCTGACAAACGCAAAACAAATGATCATCGTCTACTAAGCGCGTCTCTTTATTGACTTTATTACTGGCCGACGTCCTGGCAGACGTCTGGAAGCCGTCCCAAACGTTTAGTACAGTGCACAGTTGTAGTAGAAAGGCGAGGTACTATGAACTGATAGGCGCAATTATAGTGGTAGCAGTCAAGACTTCATATTTGCTCATATTCATCACACACAAGGCAAATGCTTCCGTTTTCTCCATAAGCTGCTTTCCTGCCTTGTTTTTGCATTTGCATCATAAAAACATCCAAAGGTGTCTTCATCTTAACTTCACCAACTGTCCTCCATGATGTAAGTAACAGTGTACTCTCACTAGCTAACAAAATCATTTACCGTACATCGTCGTCCATTTTTGGCAGGAAAATCATTTATGTTTTTAAAACACCAGAATTGTTTTTAGTTTTCAAATTCCAACTACATATGTCCCCGACATATACTAATTAAATAGGCTAACGTACACTTTAATGTTAAGTATGGACCATGTCGCATGTAGGGCCATGGTTCAGACACCAGATGTGCGACAGGCAAGCAACAGGCTCATTATAGCTTACCTAGGTCGCGAGAGGAATTGGGAGAATGTTCTGTGGAGCCCGTGTTCACAATCCACTGCCGGAAATAATTAAGATGGCGGCTGTAGATTTTACCACAGTACATGCGAGCCTTACACAGCCCATAAAGTACAAGGACTGAGCCATATGTTTGCGATATTTTTCCCTGTGCTAACGACATTGTGTGTGCTAAGTTTGAAAGTCTCAGAACTTTCCTGTACGTTTTTATGAGCATTGTTAAAGTTTTCGTGCACTAAGAATTATGGGTAAATCTACCAGTCGCCAACTTTTTTCCAACAGAGAATTAGATACAACTAGACATTGTTTTCTTTGTTTAAGTTTGGCACGTGGCTCTACCAAACATAAATTAGTATAAATTGCATTCTATCATGAATGCCGTTCTCTTATTAGGTACGTTACTCACTATCTCTTGTAGATATAGTGAGTAGCCTAGCAGCGTGTGGTTGTTAGCAAAGTGGAGGCCGTTTCTTTGCGTTTTAAAAATGTCTGTGAAGAGGATTGAGATAAAATTTTGAACTACTAGTAGATTTATACTATGGGCACGGGCTGCGCCCTTGCCGACGTACTATCACGCGATAGAATTTTTTCGCAATAGTGAAATTCACGCATATGGTTTGCGACTAAGCATGACTTAGTCAAAATGGTCCAAATCAAAGTCAAGCAGATCGTGAAAAGTCAAGCAGATCAGAACAAATCGTGGTGTTTTTCAGTAAAATATATACCGGCGGAAATTTGATACAATTGAGAATTTCAAGAAGATGACATTACCATACTGTATATAGAAGAAAATAAGAGGATATCATTAGAGAATTGCATTTTTGAAATAAGTGTACTGACAGGTGTAAATCGTTAATAGTTGAAATGGGAAAGTTTTAAGTTACGGCACAAGTTACATACATTAATCATTAGCTTACTTATACTTATCTTTAACGAATGTTAATTACTACACCGAGTAAATGGAAATAAAGAACGAAGCGCTTACTGCAATAACGTGATCAAGTCGCTACATCAACAAATTCTTTAATGTACAGTACCATTGGGGAGCTCATGGTATAAAAAGACCTATTTCTCAACAGAAATCAAAACCTCGTCCCTTTCCTCCTTACATGTGACCCATTTCACCGGAGGGGCCACTACTTAACAGCTTTATGCTATTAAATAACATTCCAGGAGAAGTAGAAGAATGTTTTGCAGTCGAACTCTTCCACGACGGCCACCCTGGAGGGCATGTACAGAACTGGCCGTTATGGGGAGGGGGTGTAGTATGATAAGCATTTTTTTTTCGGGGAGGGGGAGTGGGGCGAGGATAAATCGCTTTCAATTTTTAAATACATATATCTTATAAACCTAGCGCGAAAGTCGCACTGGGAGAATATCGGCCCGAGGTCTTGACAATACGGACCCAGGGGTCCGACAGACAGATTTATTACACGACTGAAAATGCTTAGAAAAATGCCACGATTGTGGAGAACAAAACGCAACGGTGAGAGAATACATAGGGAGATGTTACACCGTTAAAAACATTTATGAAGTCATCTTTTTTCAAGTGGTACTGCTTCTATCTGATCACCAAAGCAAATTCCTTGTATTGCGGGTTCTCATTTTCTTTCCTTTGTTTTTTGTCCTTCATTTTCTCTGCCAATATCAGTGATTTGCCTCCCCTTTCATTTACTTTCTGACTGCTTCTTCGTCTTTACCTAGGCCCATCCATTGCCGCAGGTAAAAAAGCGTTAAGGAGAGTTTGACCACTCCGTTCGTAATACAGAAGCTTCAAAAATACGAGACTTACCGTAAATCCGTGATCGTCGTGGTTTCCACTCTCAAATTTAATGCATCTGATTTTTTATCTCTTAGAATATCGATTAATTTTCTTTCCAGAAACTTCACTAACCGTGCGCTTTTCCGGAGACGAGCGAGCGTTATATAAAAGTGAAAAACTAAATAAATATAAAAGTGGTGTCTGTTAGCAGGGCATTGATTCCTCATGATTGCATTGCACTATATTTTTTTCTTCAAGAGATCTGTCCTTGGGTGAGGAAGGAAAACACACATCTTCTGTCTAATATCAGTTAGGATCGAAAATGTTATCCTGCCAATGTTTGATTTTGGTCTACGAGTCCAACTTTTCACTCTTTTGAAAATTGTTCCAAGATGTTTTTTCTCTCTCTAATCCTTTTAACTTCTTTTACCATTATATGTAATAATTGAAATGAACAACCGAAATAAACAACTGAGTGGCTAGGAGCGACTGGGCAGAAGTAGGTTGAATTATACGTTTTTCTCAAAATCTACCCACCGGCGATACCTCAGAATTTCAGAGAATTAGAAATTGGCTCTGACTAAACATTAATGCAAGGGAAAATGTTAAAATGCGTGCGAGAAAGGAAGAATAAATTTAGAGCTCATTTACCAGTTGTTTATCTTTCGTTTTTGTCAAATTTTATCGGTCTTAGGCTTAAAGACAAGTTTGAAAGCAGTTTGAAGCTATTGCTACGCATCCCAAAGTGATTTAACGCGTTTCAACTGCTGAAGTTGATTTCGTTTTTTCCTAGGGTTACTTGCGTCATTTTATTTCTGGCAGGAAATCGCTGGAAGCGCGCACAACGCGAGTGGAGCCTATGAGCATACATGTCTTGACAAAACGCATTAGCAGAAAAAGATATTTTTCGCTTAAGGGGTCAGTCGAGCCAAAATTGTCCTACCATTTACGTTGTTACCAAAATTTCCGGTATTTTTGGTCCCCGCTACTGAGACGGCGATTTTCTCGAGCGGCCTTTCGAACACATCGTTAAAAAACGAGACGATATTATTGCTGTTAATAATCTCGCAATTGTCTGTCAACATCATCTAGTTTCCCAAATGGACCGAAGTTATTAATTCTATAGCCTGCACCGCCAGGCTCATTTGGAGGTTAGAGATTATGTTTTTGTTTGTGGTGTGTTTAGGCCTGGGTGTGTTAACCTCGTTCCCAGGGTCTCTCATCTTTCTGCCCTTCCGGAGCACTGGGAACGAGGTTGGTGGTGTGTATCATGTGCAGAGACAATAGCCCGGCTTCGTGAAATATCAGAAAATGTTTGTTTGGTGACGTTCTCGTTGCCATTGTGGAAGTCCTTTTTCAATTCTTTTGTTTTATGCCTCTTCTACATGTAATAAGTTGAGGTTGTCTGAAGTTTAATGACTTCTCTCGATACGCTTTTCCTGGGTAAAAACAGCATCTGTACAATAAACCATTATTTTAACCCTGTGAATACCAAACTTTCGCCAAAAAACTACCGTTTTTAACCCTTTAGTCAGGTTTTTTGGCTGCCATGACGCTAAATAAGCCTAAGTTCTGCTGAGAAAGCTTTTTTTACCAAAAGGAGAGATTTTTCGAGGATTACGTACAAAATTGAGCAATATTTCAATTCTGGGCATGCGCATAAGCCAAAATTTGGACTTCCATTAACCGTTTCCAATTTTGTTTGTTGCCCCTTTCCTTTCTTTTTTTTTCGCGGCCCTTTTACTCTGGCTACCTTTTGCGTTGCATGTTCTTTCTGGCTGCCGTAAAAAGTTGGATGTTAATTATGGGCGAAGCCCAGAAATCAATCATAGGCATAGTGGACCATTTTACCACCGTTTTTGCACCAAAGCTGATAACGTTGTTTTTCGATTTGCGACGTCGGAATGTCGTCGATATCTAAACCTGACCATTGTAGGGAAAGGCCTAGCCTAGTACTACCATCTGCTTATCAATAGAATCTGGTGACATTTAAATTGATGACGTCACAAGTGGTACAAAGAGCACGACCATTAAGTGGCCGTATATGGCTACTTGGGCATCAAAGGGTTAATTAATACACTTAATAATGAATTTTATAAAGGAATCGCTGATTTGGTATTTGCTGGTGTTTGTTAGTGAAAGTTCTTACATTTTACGGCAACGTTTAAAACACAGGGGATCCGCAATTTTCAACTTTATAGAGGTTTGCTGTTTTTAACAAAGGTAACGACTTCGGGTAATAGCCGGTTTCGCTATTTACTGTCGAAGCTTGTCGAGTTCGCTACATGTTCGCTACTCACAAATTCCAGGTCGCTGCCTATGATTCGCGTCCGTTACTACCGATAAACTAAAACTTCGGGAAACAAAAAGATCTAGACCCAAGACTTCACGTACATTTAGAATATTCCTCGTTCTTTCATCCACTGCCGAGCCAAAGTAGCGAACTCGGTCTGTGGGTAGCGAACATGTAGCGAACTCGACAGGTAGCGAAACCGACGTGAACCCGACATCGTGAGCCATGTTCTCAACTCTACCGACGACACATTGGTCAGTAGCGTTTGGTTTGCACTGAACTGATAGGTTAAGGGCAGGCCAAACCCGACACTGTCAGAAAGTTTGAAAGAAATGTCGAGACGAGAGACAGAAAGACAGACAAAATAATCACGTTTTACGTGTCACAAGTAATCGAAGAATATTTCTTGCCAATAAATATAAATATCTAAACTGAGAAAATGCAGGAGAGAACACAGATCAAAGATTTGGAAGCTTATCCACGGGTGTCGTAAATTTGAAGTCGCTTGGAAAGAGTTCTGCTGCTCGTAAATAGTTAAGTCTGTAGGATTGACGAATTGTAACATCTGCTACACCAGCGATGTCGCCGATTTCTAAAAAAAGAAAAAAACAGTACGTTGATTTTTATGACAGGCACTACACTATAATTGATCTGGGATAAAAAGGTCTATTTTAAGACCGAGTACTTGAACTGATTGTAGAATTTTTATGCTGTTTCTCTCAAATTCCCCACGAACACAAGGGAATAATTTTTATTTCACACACTCCTAGAATGCTTCCCGTCTGTTTTCTCTCGAAATTCAGCAGGGAGACGCAGCGAGACGCTTTAGCCTAAGGGACTGTGCAATAATTACCTGGAGAGGAGGGGGTTGGAAAGTTAGAGGGGGGGGGGGGGAAAGCATAGGAAAAAATGACATCAAGAGAGAGGGGGGGTTGGA